CACCATCTAGCTGTACTGGACTCAGTCTGGTGGAGGCCATGGTAGCTGTGGTCCATTAGTCCTTCAGACTAATCTTTCCCTTGTATCCTGTTCTCTTCATTCTCCCTTGCTGCCGAAGGGATGAGACCAGTGGAGTATCTTAGATGGCTGCTCACAGGCTTTCAAGACCCCAGACACAATATTTTTGAGTTAAAGAAATGTGTATTTGGGATTATTTTCTGGACATCCATGCTCAAAAAAGTTTTTATTTTAATCCAACTTAAAAAAATTATACCAAAAACGAGTTTTGAAAACTAATTTGTAACGTAGTTTGTGTTCTGTTCAATTTATTTTACAAGTTAATAGTGGAATTACAGGTTTTCCCCTGCTATCTGAAAGTAGAGCATTCCAATACAACCTCTCGTAAGCCGAAATGGCATGAAGCAAAGAAGCAATTACCACTTTTTTATGAGAAAAATTTTTGAGCATTTCCAGACACAAAAAATAGTCTACCAAATCATAGCAAACAACACATAAAACGTAAAGTAATACTAACAAAGGTATAGGGCTTGATGCTGAGATGCGGAGTGTAATTCCTGTGGAGAGGTCACTGCTCAGGGTGTGTGCTGCCTCTTTAATGGCTCGTTGCAAAACAAATGCTGAACGCTATTTCTGCTTTTTGCCTTTTTTGATAAAAGGGGAAACCCTCTTTCCGATTTTGGTTAGTGAAAACAGGTACTGATGTAGGTCTTTTGTAAAAGTGAAGTGGCGTAAAGCAAAGTTTCAAAAAGCAGGGGCTACCTGTATTTACTGTCTGTCCTCTGCCTATTTTTAATTTTTGGTCTTTTGTGGGGTAAGAAACACTGTTTAGAGTGTGCTGTTTAGACAGTGGTAAGGCCAGGTATGGCAGATGTCTGATGAAATCGCCGACGATTCTGGACAGCATCCTATACTTATTGGCAGTCCCTGTTTGGGTAAATGATTAGAAAAGCTTGATCATTCTCAATCCTTGCTGTGCATCGGAATTACTTGTGGAGCCATGGACAGCAATTTTTAGAAATCTCCACAAGTGATTCCGATCCTCAGTCTGGGTTGGATTCATTATTTAAATATACCACCTTATCACCCATAGAAGTATTTGTTCCTCTGAAAGATCATTTGTATAATATTATGAAGATATGTATACTTTTATAAGGATGGTGGAGGCGGTGAGCGATTCACTTCATTAAATGGGTAAATCTTCCTTAATGTAGACATGTTGCTGAAACGTCACTTGTAATTTCAATGTTTTTTGCCATATGTTTCCATTGTCAAATTCAGTGTTCTTTGTCATGGAAACCTGTTAAAACCCTAAGGAATTCTTTGAATCAGCAAACTTTAAAAAAAAAAAAAAAAACCCTGATGTGAAAGGATGATTTTTGTTGGCACAGTGGCAGTAAAGTACTAAAAATACCAAAGTACAAGTAAAGAGCATAAATTTATATTTAAATATAGGCGGTTCACATATACACACGTCTTCCTCTGAAGAGTGAAGAGCCTGGTGTGGAGCATTTTTAATTACGTCAGTGATATGGTAATATCCCAAGTAGATTTTTGTATGTAATCTAATGAGTAATTCATATTGAAAAGTAACTTTATGCTGAAATACTGTTTTTATGCTTACTGTTTTACTGAAACATATTCTTTATAATAAATTACACCTATGTGTGTTTTCTTAAAGATGAAAAGAATTATTTGCATTAGTTCTGTAATATACTCTAAAAATACATATATAGTTTATAAAAGAAAATTTCAGCTGTCATTTTTAAAAACTTTGCAAATAGCATTTTCTGTGTAAAATGTGATCATGATAAGGTAGGAGTTTTAAGATGTTTTGAAACTGACATGAAAGGGGTGTCTATTAAGCTAAACTGTGATCAACAGAGCCGTCTCTGTTAAATGAAATAAAATGAAGGCAAGAAAAAGAGCTGCCTGTTCCTGTCCTTTGTTTATGCCAGACTTGAATATAGTTCTTGCTTTTGTGTGTAGTTTAAATTGATGGTTCCATTTCTGAAATAACAGTGGTATTACTTTTGAGAAATTTCAGTGGTTGACTTTTATTTATTTACTTTTCTTAGATTGTTCTCTAAGATTATATGGGTCATCCTGTAGCGGATTTGGTTTCAAAAATTCAGATGTAAACATTGACATCCAATTTCCAGCCATTGTAAGTACCAAATGAAATTTCTGAGTGTTCACAGATGGATATGGAAAATTCTTTCTTTCAAATGTGAGCTGCATATAAATACGTTTTAGATTCTTGAAGATACTTTAAGTAGAATGGCAGCAACTTACTTTCCTGCAGCTACCATCTTTATATCTCTGCCTGCCCTCAGTTTCAGAGCATTTTGAAAAATACTTTATGGATATTGAGCCGCTTTTATATTTAACTTCAAACACTGGTTTTCTAACCATGTGAGTCTGATAGAGTATTGGGTTCTATTAACTTGAAAAGAGTAAATTCTCTTGATAAAATCAACTTCCAAATGGCAGGGAAGGATTTCAGATTTTAAACAGTATAGGTGTGTAAACATTTATGACCGAAAAGCTCACTTTGCTTCTTAGTTTCCTCTTTTACATACCTACTTTATTCAAAATAATTAGGTTTTCAAAGAGCCACACCTAGCCTAGGTTTCTGGTTTAAACATAATTCAAAAAGATGTTGATGAGTGACAATTTTAAAACTGGAAGACACTTGAGTAGATTACTTACATTTATCCATGGGCAGTTCCCGCAGGCCAGTTTACAGATGATTTGCATTCAGTCACCTGGGTTGCCTGTTAAAAATACGGATTCCTGGGTCCCACCCCCAGATACTCTTATTTCACAACATCTTATTCCTTGCCATACCTAACTGCTATAGCTGAATGGCCATCTAACCAATTGGTTTTACTATTCTTTTAATCTTAAAAAATGTCATCAGTGATTTATCAACCAAAGAGTTATTTTGATCTCAACCTGTTCATTCATTTAGCAAATATTTACTGAGTCTCTGTTGTATGCCAGGACTATAGTAGATTCTGGAGAACAAAACAGGTATGATTCCTCCCTCATGGAGTTCATCCTAGTGAAGCAGATAAATAGTTATAGATAATTAATTGTAATGACAGATATGCAGATAAATAAGTTTATAGAAAATAACAAGGGATGTGCAGAGATAGCAGTCACAAAGGCCTCTTTGTGGAAGTAACATTTAAACCGAGTTCTAAGAGATAGAAAGCAACCGGGGCGGGGAGGGTGGTGGTGAAAGAATGTTTCTGGCAGGGGGAACAGCACTTACAAGCACCCTAAGTCACTAAGGAGCTTGGCTATTCAGGAAGCTAAAAGGAAGGTAGTATAGCCATGATGAAGAGACCAAGGAAAAGAAGAGCATGAGATTAGGATGGAGAGGTAGGCTGGGGCCCAACATGCAGGATCTTATAGGCCATGGTAAACAACTTGGATTTTGACCTAAGTGCAGCAAGAAGCCATTGGAGGTTTTTAAGGAGGGGCATCACCATGGTTTTAAATGATAGTTGGTTCTGTGTGGAGCAGGGAAACCCTGGTGGCGTAGTGGTTAAGTGCTACAGCTGCTAACCAAAAGGTTGGCAGTTCTAATCCACCAGGCGCTCCTTGGAAACTCTATGGGGCAGTTCTACTCTGTCCTATAGGGTCGCTATGAGTTGGAATCAACTCGACGGCAACAGGTTTGGTTTGGTTTAGTTTATATGGAGCAACAACTGGAGAAAGGCAAGAGTAAAGTAGGAGCTCAGTAAGCAATCTGTTGGATTAGTTTAAGCTAGAGGTAATAATGTTAGCAATTTGACAACTTCTAGCTACAGCTTTGAGATTTGCTAAGATACTGAATCAGTCAGAAGTTAGTCATGCAGTGGGTCTCTTCTGCCCGTACTCCTCTTTGTTTGGGGCTCATCTGTCTGTCTTTGGGTGATATGCACACACAGCATAATGATTAATTACTCTGGTAGCAGTGTGCATTTCTGATTTGGAAAGCATTTGGGGTATTTCAGATGACCACGTATTCTCTCAGTGAAGCTAAAGTACTTACAGCTTATTTGATGTATTGATTTATTTCCTAGATGTCTCAGCCAGATGTCCTCTTACTTGTTCAAGAATGTTTAAAGAATAGTGGTAAGGCCAAATTTTTTTTATTTTTTACTCTCAAATTTTTCTTTTGTCTGTAATTTGAATATATCTTATTTCTCAGACTTTGAAAATAGGAATAATCCTGTTTTTTACTTATTTATGTAAGTAATATTCCAAGTAGATGCCCATGACTTATTAGTAAATTAATTAGAGTCCTATTAGTACATCTCCTATGCAGAACAACCGTTTCTTAAGTAAAGCTTTTGCTTGATGAGAATGTCATTATTTTAAGGTAATGAACCCTAGACCAGGAGGGCTCAGAAATGTAAACTATGTAAATTTGCTCTTAAGGTGAAACCAAAGGATAATCTACTTTTCAGATGACTTTACGAAGGGTATGTAGGTGTGGCCCACACTAATTAATGATTCCACAAATAGTTGTTCCCAGTTAGGTTTATCAGTTATTCAGTGTGATGTCCAGCTTGGGGCTTTCTGGCTTTTTATGGTTTACATCCAGAAACCTGTTGCCATCAACTCAATTCCAACTCATAGCGACCCTGTAGGGCAGAGTAGAACCGCCTCATAGGATTTCCAAGGCTATAATCTTTACAGAAGCAGACTGCCACATCTTTCTCCTCAGGAGTGGCTGGTGGGTTCAAACTGCTGACCTCTGTGTTAGTAGCCGAACACTTAACCACACACCAGCAGGGCTCCTTACGCTTTACATAGGCCATCTGTCTCATCCTTGAATTAGTTTTTCCCATCCTTGTTTTGGTTGAATAAAACATTTAAATTTTTCTTCTTACTTCAGTTAATGTATATTTGACCCTGAACATTTCAGTAGCTTTTGCAACAATTTTGCTTTTGAATGTCCTGTTCATATTTCTAATTCTTTTATCCATATGACATTTAACTATTCTGATCTAATTATATAGTCATTTCTAATCAAACATTAGCTTTACAGAATAGGAGTTTTAAATTAATTTGATCACTTGATTCTTGAATATGGTATTTGTTTCGTTTTTGGGTTATTTCAGAGATTTACTTAAAGTAGTAGTCTTTCAAAGGGCCAGATAGATAAGTCATAACTGATACTTGTACTTTATCTTGTTCTGTTTTTAAACAAAGATTTGATTGACCTACTTAATATCTTTTTCTTCTTTCCTCAGATTCTTTTACTGATGTTGATGCAGATTTCCATGCTAGAGTGCCAGTGGTGGTGTGCAGAGAAAAGCAGAGGTCTCAGCTTCTTTAAGCTATTTATATATTAAGTATCAGCTTAGCAGTAGCACATGTGCTTTAAACCTGTTGCCGTCGAGCTGATTCCAACTCATAGAGACCCTATAGGACAGAGCAGAACTGCCTCATAGGGTTTTGAAGGAGCGGCTGGTGGATTCGAACTGCCAACCTTTTGGTTAGCGGCCAAGCTCGTAACCACTGCGCCACCAGGGCTCCCATGTACTTTAGTAAAGCCTAATGTCTAGTTCCTAGAATTAGAAACCCCTTACATGGTTATTTCATGTGCTTATTACTAGCATTCTTCCTGTATTTTTGGCATTTGATGCAAGAGGGAAAAGAATGTTTAATTTTTAGAAGAGTAAAAGTACTTAAAAGGAGAAAAAAGATAAAGCATGTTGACCCATTTCAGCTAGGTAAAAAACAACTTCATCAAAAGGTTGCTTGCGCTAATCAACGTTTATTTTTGATCCTTTTTAGCAGCATTTGTGGCAGTGCTGAGTAAGAGTGTGACTTCATAATCTCTTCCTCCATCTGGAAGTATTACCATCATCACTAAATCGATGGCTTGTAGGCTGTAATGATTCATTAGGCAGAGTCCTCCTACTCTTGGGAAAACACTCTTATTGTTGCACAGATAAATCATGCCCTCATTTGAAACATTTTACAATATTTTCCTTATTTGCATTGCCCCCTAAAATAGCTTTAATATATACACAAAATTTTAGTTCTGAAAAATGAGGTTTACTCAGAAAATAGCTGCCATGTATTTTTTTTTTTAAACCAATTTCTTAAATGACCCATACAAGTTCAGTGGGTTTTTTACTTATTCTATTTTAAAGTATTTATTATCAGTGTAAAAATCAGCTGTTGTTAGTGTAAAATCTATCTGTGTAACACTTTTTTCTTTCTCTTTTTCCCTTCCATCCTTTCTTCCTCCCACCCCCCAACAGTGGTCTTCTTTGTAAAGTGAGTGCAGGAAATGAAAATGCATGTCTGACAACAAATCATTTAACTGCCCTTGGAAAACTAGAACCAAAACTCGTTCCTTTGGTGATTGCATTTAGGTACTGGGCAAAGGTAGGTTTGAGTTCTTCAAATGCATGAATACATTCTATGTATGCATAAGCTGTATGCTTTGATTTTTACTCAGTTAATTTAAATGTTTTGTAAGCATTTTGTAAACATTGGGAGTATGATATCTGAGTAATAGAGCAGACATTTTAAGGTTTAAAGAAAGGAAAAGTCATTGTGTCTGTTTCACTATAGCAGTATTCCTTAAAAGATCAAAATGATCGATAGCGCTTATTAAAAATTTGACTTCTGGGCCAAATCCCAGGGCTGTGACCCAAGGATTTGCATTTTAACTGGTTTCTCAAGGTGATTCCTGGCACAAGAAAAGTTTGAGATAAAGCACAAAAGCTTCTTTTACCATTTCCGATAATATACTCAGAGACTCTCCAACAAGCAAAAGACACTCTCACATTTCTGTAATGTCTTAAATGTAGTATCTGGATTGGATTGCTTTAATAAATATTAGAGCATTTAGCATTCCCCTGAAATGAAGGTCAAGTCATGATTATAAAATTGAGATTCTCTGTAGGTGTTTTTTAGAGGGAAGCAGAAGCTTGATTGATAAAGGTATAGCAGTAACAATGCAGAAGTCCCGTTGCTTGTGTCCAGGATGAATAGAGGATGCACCACGCTTGACTTGGTGAATTGATGATTACAAGATGCCATTTTTGAAAACTGTTTCATCACTAAGTAGGCCCTGCTTTTTTGATTGCTATTTCTGTTAATACTGATGAATTTGCCCACATTTTCTGCCCTAATTGCCTTTGTGACCAGAGCGTGCATTTATAAAGCAGTAGGTTCTGAAGAGGGGACCATTCAACTGAGCAGAGCCAGTTGGCCTGTACTTTGAATTGAACCATCATTTTGTCTTCATTAACTTGTGTTTAAGTCAAGTGAATGGGCTTACCATGGCTGTTAAAGAATAAAGCAGCAAATGTTTTTTTAGGCCCTTCCATGAGTAAGTTTAGTTGTGAGTATAACAGGATTAAATATTTGACATTGAAACTGTCATGCAAAACCACGGTATGTGGTTGCTATAAAAGCGTAAGGAAGTTTTCTGTTTCATCCTTGTGCTGTTTGGTTTTGAGGAGTCACTATAAATCAAGTAATACACGGGAATAAAGTTACAGGTTTTAGACTAAATTGTGTAAGTGACAAGTTGGTACAAAAAGAATGCTTTTCTTGTTTTTTCTCCACTGTAGCTTTGCAGTATAGATCGCCCTGAAGAAGGTGGCCTGCCACCTTACGTCTTTGCCCTGATGGCCATTTTCTTTCTTCAACAGAGGAAAGAGCCCCTTCTGCCTGTTTACCTAGGATCATGGGTATAAAACTTTTTTTGTTTATGTGTCTCATATTGATTTTATTACATGTCCATAATCCCTTATGCATAATTTCAAAATCTAAAAGCCTAACCAGAACTGACATGAATGTACTTATCCCACTGATGTGAACTTGCATACGTTTCACTGCCGAAATATTAATGTGTGTGATTACAAGGTGCTGCCCAATACCCTGCTAGGGATAGTACTACTTTTCTAAAATCCAAAAATTCTAATTTTTGAAACATATGGTCCTGAGGGTTTCAGATAAGAGACTGAATCTGTGTTAAATTTATCATTTGCTGCACACTTTTTTTGGGTTGTTTTCTAATTTGATACTTGAATTTACATATCACCTCCAGACAAACTGTAGGAAGCATTTGGTTGACTGTAATTTACTTTCTAGTTCTAATCCTTTATTTCTCTTTATTCCTTATACCAGGAAAAATAAAAGACAATGTAAAGTGTTGGGATTGCTACCTATACTATAAGATGCAGAGCTTAATAGCCAACCCTTGAATAATATTTGGTATCTTTAAGATGAATTAAACTTCAATAATGTGAGCCACTTTTGTGGATAAATTAAAGTTCAGCTATTTGTTGAAAATAGTAAGATTTAAGAAGAAACAGTCTCAAAGAGTCAAAATTATGTTCAGTATGTTGGAAACCTCATTTTTAATCCCTGTCTTGATATAGGAGCCCTTGCTGGTGCAGTAGTTAAGAGCTATGGCTGCTAACGAAAAGGTTGGCAGTTCAAATCCACCAGTCGCTCCTTGGAAACTCTATGGGGCAGTTCTACTCTTTCCTGTAGGGTCGCTATGAGTCAGAATTGACTCTACGGCAACGGATTTTTGGTTTATCTCGATAGAATTTTATATGTACTCGTTATAGAAAGACTCTCTTTGTGAAAGGCTTACTTTGGTATGTTGGGTATTTTAACAACCTTTCTTCTTAGCGTACATAGGTCTCTCATCATTCGAGGAAGATAATATGTTCTAGAGTAGTAGTTGTTAACTATGAGTGTGTGCCAGAAATACGACTATAGAGGATTTTTTCTTTATACTTAATGGACTGAAAATTAAGCAGGGAACTTTTACCTGCCAGGCCCTGAGAATCAAGACTAAAGTAAAATAAGCCACATATATATCCAGTGGTGAGAGAGAGAAACAAATAAATACCTATAAAGTGGTGGTAATTTCTTTGAGGAAAAATAAACCTGGGTAAGAAGAACAGAACGAAAGAAGGGGGAAGCTATTTAGAGACAGTGATATTTGAACAGAGCCTGAAAGAAGTGAGGGAGAGTGAGCCATACAGTTGCTTGGGGGAAGAGCATTCCAAGCAGAGGGAATGTCAGCCCTGAGCGAGGAGGATAGGAGCTGGGTCAGAGAGGTAGGAAAGGGCCAGATTGCGTAGGGGCCTGTAAAGGACTTGGAATTTTCGTCTTGAGTAAGAGAGAGTATGAGCAAAGTAAGGAGGCAATATTAAGTCTTTTGTTGTAGAAAGATTACTCCATCTGCTAAACCAACGAAGTACTCCATGTTTTGTGGAAATACATTTGGGAAATGGAATACCACATACACCGTCCAACCCCAGCTTGTTACGTACGTGAATCTGTTTAAAGGCTATGCTAAAAATCCTGTTGTACAGTAAAGAAACCCGTTGAGCCTTGTTTTACATTTCCCAGACCTTTAAGCCCAAATCATTTTCTTTTGCATTAACATGTATTAATAGCCTGTAGCATATGCTTTTGAAATTTCCTTTTTAACCAGATTAACTATTAAAATTACGAGTTTTGTATCTCAGCGATTCTAGTTTTTACAGTTTGCAGTCTCAATAATGTCATTAGTGTAACAGTTGCTTACATTAATTGAGCATTTACTGTGTGCCAGATTCTGTGTCTATGTGCTTTCTGTTCATTATTTCATATCATCACAGCCCTCCACAAAGGAGGTTTTAGTATTAGCCCTTTTTACAGAAACCTGAGGCCTAAAGAGAATAAGTACCTTTCCTGAGGTCACACAGCTGGAACTTGAGGGAGCTGAGATTTGGGCTAAGGCAGTTTTCTTCCAGAACCCATGGCCTTAGCCACTAGGTCATATTCTTCTCTTAGAATCTTTACTAAAGAGTTATTTCATAAAGTCTCAACTTCTTTTGCAAAGCACAGCCTTGTTTTTTCACTTTTAAAGAATATATTTTTTTAATTTATAGATGTCTCAGAGGAATTCCATAAATTATATCTTGTATATTTTCAGTGAACTGAGTATATGGTCTTTTCGGTGATTCTAAGATTAATAAGCTCTGATGTGATATAAAATCATTTCTACCTTATGACTGTATTTGTCTAATTTTTTCTAGATTGAAGGATTTTCATTAAACAAATTAGGAAACTTCAACCTTAAAGATGTCGAGAAAGACATTGTGGTGTGGGAATATGCTGATGCTGCCACAGGGGATGCAGACCCAGCCAAAGAAGAGTTGCCCAGAGCGCCCAGAGACATGCCAGTTAAAAGGGGACAGGTGTGCACGCTCTTTTCTGGTCTAACCACCTGTTTCTAACTCAGATGTTAATGGTGGTGTTGATGGGTTAATCAGTCTTACTCTCTTCTTTGCTTAAGTATCTTACCTATTTCATGGCTATTTCATTTCCTAGTGCTCTCTTGAATAGACAAGTAGTGAGAGAAGGTAATATTCAGTTCATTAAATCCACAGACATTTCTGTGGTTTCTTCTGTGTGCAGAATTCAAAGATAAACCCTTTAATGAAAAAACTTCGATTTTAGATGGTTTTGAGAGGTCTATATATATGAAAATTTAACTAAACTCAAATTACAAAGTAACAGTGAGTAAATATATTATTAAATATACTTGTCCTCATCCATACCCTTGGGGTGGGAAGAATTTATTTATGAACAAGGAAAGAATTGCCAATAGAATTTCAAATAAAACTCTGAGCAATATAATTAGACTAGTAATAAGAATAGGATTCTATCCCAGATTTGTGAATGGTCCCCTTATCCATGATCCTTTAGGGTGAAATGACAGTAATACTCACAAAATACTTTGGAGACAGGATTTACAAACAAGGCATACACAAACAAGTCATGTCACTTCTCCAGTCCATAGTTTACTCATGTCTAAAATGAAGAGATTATGGTAAATCATAGACTTTTTAGTTTGTGTTTTCTGGAATCCTTGAGCATAGAGGAAAGGAGGGAAGTGGAGCCATCCTACTACCCATGCAGCCACCAGAGTAGCAACACTTTTATCTGGTTTCTATTTTGGGGTTCCGGTAGTGGATAAGATACAGGCAGTGGAGTCAGAATATAGGTATTCATATCCCAAACCCTCCCATTTCCTAGCTTGTCCTTGGACAACTTACTTACTTAACCTTTCTGTGCTCCAGTTTCCTCACCTATAAATGGGGATAACGTCGGTACCCGCTCATAGGGTCATTAATTTATAGAATGCTTAGCTCAGTGCCAAGCATATGATAAGCACTTAGGGAATACTAGCTGTTATTTTATTTGAAAAAGAGAGTTCTCTACCAAAAAAAAAAAAAGTTTAAATACCTGTAGTCTAGGTATTTCCAAGGTCTCTTTAGTTTCATGTTATGGTATTAATCAAGTCATTTCAGTGACGTGCTTAAAGTTACTTAGTAATCCTGAAAGAGGTTTGTGGATAAAGAGATGAAACTTAAATAAGACTTTCAATTTCTGGAGGTTTTCTTTGTGTCCTTATCTGTAGTGTTTGGGACCTGAACAACTTCCGTTTTCAGTCAGTTCTGCTTTGTAAATCCATCAGATGACTGTGTCTTACTTGACGGAACCTTTGTGGTTGATATTTAGTGATTAATAAAGTACCATACTACTAGTTTTGAAACTTGATATATTAAAGTGAGATTGCAAACAATTTGTATATCTTAGAGAGGGAAAGAAATTTTTTTATTTTATGTGAATTATAGGGATAAGATGAAGGAAAATCTATTCCTGTAAATCCAATTAAATATTTTTACATTTTATGCTATTTGAAGAGATTAATCCTGCTTCCACTTCTGAAGTTAAGAGAGAGCTAGGCATTGTTGAGATTGCATGGTGTGGTGAGAGAGCACTGTACTGGGATGGGGAGATGTTCTCCTCCTGCCACTGACCAGCGATGTGGCCTTCTAACCAGTCATCTGAACTTGATGGGCTTCAGTTCCCTCTCCTTGTAAATAAGGGAGTTGAACTAGATGACCTCATAAGAGCATCTTACAGTTCTGACATCATGTTTCAATGATATATGGATTTCTTATATGTAAAAGGACTTTACCTAAAGTGAGAAAGTACAGACGACAACCAAGTCTGCCAGATGCTTTCCCTTGCTTCTGATTTAATCCTCATAACTGTCCTGTGTTATAGGTGGTATCATCCCTACTCTGCAGATAATGATAGCGACCATTTTTTGAACACTGTGTGCCAGGCACTGTGCTAAGCACTTTACAGACACTATCTCATTCAGTCCTCCCAACAACCCTATGAGGTGGGTACTGTTATCCCATTTTTCAGATGAGGAAACCAAGTTTTAGACAGGTTATATACCTTGCCTAGGATTATACATAGCTAGTTGCATTTCTAACCTAAGCTTATCCATTCCAAAGCTACTCTTAGCTACTGCGCTATACTGCCAGCCTGACAATGAAGAAGCTAAGTCACTATGAGGTGGCAGAATCAGTATTTGGACCCAGTTTTTTTCTATTCTGAGTCCTGTATACTTTCTAATACCTTGCATCATGGTATGTTCCAACTTAAGATTTATGACTATAATAGTCATGACTGTACTATACTGTATATGACGATACTAGTCCTACTAACCTATGACTGCTATTAGTTTCTGGTATCAACAGTTACTCAGCATTAAAAGTAATTGCCACTAGCAGATTCAGTGTGCTTGTGTAGTTTATTGGGGCAAATGAGAGGAGTGTTTTCCCTTTTTCTCTCCACTTTTAGCTGCTGTCCATTTCTGTGCGTCTGTAATTGGTTATAGGTGCCCTCCAGCAGCAGTAACCGTTAAGAGTTCAGTGCTGAGAGTATTAGCAACCCATGCACAGTCCTCTATCCAGTTACTAATATTTCAGAACTAAAGAAGCGCTCTCTAGTAAAATGAAACTGATCCTGTCTACTCCTGTGATAATGACTCTCTGTTAACATACTATAAACCCAGGGGTGCAGGGAAGTAATACTGTTTTACCAGCAAGCAAAATAGAACCTGGAATTTGATTTGTCTTGTCTTTGCTAAGGTTTTTCAGATATTTTAATTTGATGCTTGACTGATCGCTCGTTTTTCAGATTGTGCTGACATCTGAGATAACCTGTATGTTTTCTCTTTGCTATTAATAGGTACCATTAATATTTGATTTAAAGCGCCAGCCTTCAGTACCAGTTGGGCAGCTCTGGGTGGAATTGCTTCGATTCTATGCTTTAGAATTTAATTTGGCTGATTTAGTGATAAGTATACGTGTCAAAGAATCTGTGTCTCGTGAATCAAAGGACTGGCCCAAAAAGCGCATTGCCATTGAAGGTATCTCAAAATGTTTACCTTTAACTCCCCGTTTTTTCATTTTCTCCTCAAAGGTACCAGTCTAACAGCATGTCTTATTTCAGTCTCTTTTCAGCTCCTACGTGTAAGGTAGGCCTGGTCTCAAAGGTGAAATAAGTAGTCAGAATCTTGCATGTGTATCAGTGGGTCACTCCAAGGATCCAAACATTTTGTCCTGGGTTTTTTAAATGCCACAACAAAACATCTTAATTACTTGAGCAGCTAAAGTAATGGCTGCCTGAGTCCTGCTTTCTTTGTAAATTGCTTAGCAACTTAAAAGCATCCAGGGTTTTTCCCAGTGATGTGTGAACCCCCCCTTCCCTCTTCACTGTTCTTGCTTGTGGATTTTAAATTCAGTACTTCCATGGACGGTTGTTGCTGTTGTTTAGTTTTGCAAAGATAAGGAAAATACTCTCTGGTGAAAAATAATAATCTAAATCACTTGGATATCTAAACTTTACACTTAGCTAGATTCCTCTCCATAGCAGGAAAGAACAGTTATTTTTGAAAGGTCTGCGGTAACACTTAAAACTTAGTCATAAAAATACTTCCTTAGTGAAGGCTCATTTAATGGAAGTCATGATCTAAAAGACACGCTGATAAGCTCTGTAAACTTCATTAACAGGACTAGCTCTTCTTGGCTTTTCAAAGTCAGGAGGTTGAAACCCCTCTAGAAATCTTAATTCTCCTCCTTTAAGTAATTTTAAGAACCTCCTCAATGGAATTCTCTTACGTTTGCTTGATTTTTTTTTCAAGCTTTTTGTTGCATATGAGGGTTTTTTTGCATTTTGCATAAATTCTGTGTGCAGTCATGGGGATCTCACATTTTTAAACCCTCCCTGCAGTTTCTGTGGCTCAGCTCTTCTGGCCAATTGCCTAACCTGCTGGAGTTCTAGGGGAGGAGAAAAGATTGAGAGAAGTGGTGTCTCCTCCTGGCGCCTCCCTTTCACCCCTGAAACTCAGTCCAGCCAATTCAGTGATGGGGCTCCCCAGGGCAGAAGAGTGGAGGTAAGCTCTACAAAGCACAGGGCCTGGCTGAGTGGGGAGGCAGAGCCCTCAGCAGTGCCTGCCGGGAAGACCTCCCTTCCCAAGGGCACAAGAGCCAGGCTGGTGCCATCTGTGCTACCTCCACAGTCACCGAGCAGAATAGCAAAGGGGTACTGGTTCTGAGCAGAATGGGTTCTCTTCATAGAGAAGGTACTTAAGAAAACGTGTCTATTTTTTTTTATCCTTTAACTGTTTCTTCTTGCTCCCCACCCCTGATTTTTTTTAAAGCATATAAAATAAGTGATAAGCTGTACTGTTTGTTTATTGTCCAACTTTATTGTCTGACTTTATCTGTAGCCAGTTAATTCTTAAAACTCAAAATACAAATGTGTGACATGGTGGATTTTATTTTGTTATAGATCCCTACTCTGTTAAAAGGAATGTGGCGAGGACCCTAAATAATCAACCTGTATTTGAATATATACTTCATTGTTTAAGAACAACGTATAAATATTTTGCTCTTCCACACAAAATTTCAAAATCCAACCTTCTAAAGCCTGTGAGTGCAGTTACAGGCATTTCAGAACATTCTAAAGAAGTAACAAATCATGATCCAGGTGTACAAGCAAAAGGTGACAAGTTTAAAAACTCAGTTTTGGCTCAGGGTCCCGGTGCTATCAGTCCAGCTGCAAACACCCCCAAGGTACAGCCACTTGCTCTTAAACAGACTGCTGATCACTTTGAAGGCCCACCAGTAGAGGAAATGGGAAACAGGCACATCAGTGTAAGCCTGGAAAACTTGGACTGTGTCAAGGCAGAGGTGAGTTGTGATGATCATGAGGATGTTACCATGCACCGTCTAGAAACAGGAGGTGAACATGAGAAGTTAAAAATTGAAAGAGAGGGCCAGCATCATTTGACTGCTCATGATCAAGATATAAACAGCAGCAAACATGGAGAACTTGCCATCTGTGGCAGCACACCTACCGAGACTGACAGGACTTTGGATTTAGAAGGTTTCCGAAATCTTACAGTCCGGGGTCGTGATGGATATGTTACTATAGTTGTCAAGGCTGATATTGACGAAGAAAGCATAGAAGGTACTGATGAACTAGAAGACTCTCTAAACCACTTTGCCCCTTCAGTACCGAGCCAGACAAAAGAAATCATTCACTCTGATGAAGAAGAGGAAGAAGAGGAGGAAGAAGAGCCCAGGCTCACCATTAACCGAACAGAAGATGAAGATGGTATTGCTAATGAAGATGAGTTAGACAACACCTATACTGGATCGGGGGAGGAGGATGCCCTGTCTGAAGAGGATGAGGAACTGGGCGACGCTGCTAAGGATGAAGACTTGAAAGAATGTGGGAAACAAGCAGATGGAGCCCTACTAGTGGAACTGAATAAAATAAGTCTTAAGGAAGAAAATGAATGTGAGGAAGATTCAGCTGAGGACCAGTCTGCTCTCTCCTATGAATTTAGTAAGCTTATCTTCACCAAAGGCAAGGTAATTAGTGCTGCTACTAGACATAGTCATTGTGAGGATGGTGCAGGACTGGGCGGTGTTTAGTTCTGTTGTGCGTGGGGTCGCTATGGGTCGGAGCTGACTCAATGGCACCTAACAACAACAACACCAGACATAGAGCTAGGAGATTTTAATGCGTGGAATTTCAATTTTTATATACTAGAACAAGGCTCTCCTCATTTTGTGGTAGTGGTAAGGAATTGATGTTTCATTCTAATACAACCATTTGGTACACTTCCCTACTTAAAACTCATGGGAGTTTGCGTAAGACAAAAGGGATACTGTTAGCAGTGAAAATTACTGCCTTTTTCTCCTGCATGTACTATACGGGTGTCCTCTACTCTCAGATGGTTTAGAGTAGCTGCGCATTATTATTTTCAATATTCTCGGAAGTGGAGAGTAGACTGTATAGTTTAAGAAAAAGGTTTAAGACAGCTTTGTTTGGTTTGGCAAAGTTTTAAGTCTTGTTTTGCTTTTCCATGTTCCTGCAGTCTCCTACGGTGGTATGCAGTCTATGCAAACGTGAGGGTCATCTAAAGAAGGACTGTCCCGAAGACTTCAAGCGAATCCAGCTGGAGCCATTGCCACCATTAACACCCAAATTTTCAAGTATCTTAGATCAAGTTTGCATCCAGTGTTATAGTAAGTTGTTAACGTTTCTTTTGCTTTGTCATTATATTAAGTTGACATTTACTCAAGAGTCCTCTGAATCACTGGTCTGTAACCTCCGTAAGGTCTTAAAGATTAAGTCTGTTCTATTTTTCATTATATCCACAGTGGTCTATATAATGTCTGTCCTATTTGACACATGCATTAAATAATTGTCAAAGAAGGGAGGGAGGGTGAATTCTTTTACTCTGAAGGCAAGAGCACTGGTATTTCCCATCTGGTGTTTGAAATTCTTCTTAGGTGCAGTTAATAGTATTTCATAATAGCAAATACTTCACAGGCCAAGTAGGCAATAACTGCACACTGCCCTTCGTTAGAGATTTACCGGGCACGTTAGCATAATAAGGCTTCTGAGAAATATAGTAGTTTTAAAATCCTATTTGACTCTTTAATCCAACGTTTCCAGATTTTGAGCATAGAGTACTTTTTAATTAACACTGATTCATAGCGTACATGGAGCCCTGGTGGCGTAGTGGTTAAGAGCTCAGCTGCTAACCAGAAGGTTGGCAGTTCACATCCACCAGCCACTCCTTGGAAACCCTGTGGGACAGTTCTCCTCTGTTCTGTAAGGTTGCTATGAGTCAGAATCGACTTGACGGCAGCGGGTTTGGTTTTTTTTTTGTTGTTGTTTTTTGTTTTTGGAAAAGCCAACGTGACAGCCTTTTAAGGAAGACCAGTTTGGAGAAACATTGGTTTACAGAGGATTTCAAGTTCTATAAAGGAAAACAAAAAAGAGAAGAACTTGATGGATCAGATTTTTTTTGTTTGTTTTTTAAACTATTTTGTAGGTTATGGGCTGTGACAAAAAAGCTATGGGTTCTCCCTAAACAAAAATATATACGATGCAAACTGTGAGAGCTGGAACTCAGCAGGACTGCCTTGTTTTTCTGGGGGTTGTTTTTTTCTTTTTTAACGTTTGACAGGGTAGTAAAGATAAAGTCTAACCACTTATCTGTCACCCATTTTAGTGAAAAATTTTTTAGTTTTCCTTCTCTGACAGGTTTCTGCCTTACACAGGTTCCAGCTTTCACAGATTTTTCTGTATGTGCTTACACACAAACGTTTGTATTTATACCCTGAGCGGTTCCCTGAAGACCACCTTTATAGACCACTGGGGGGTCTCTGAAACCCAGGTGCAGAACCTTGTTCAGATTGGTTTTCATTCCAGGAGTCATCTTCTTTAAGAAAAAGGTGTCTGCTTTGTTTTGCAGTAGTGATGTTGTCTACGAGAAGACACAGAATTTAAGATTTTTTTTTAAGCTTATTTTATTTAATAGAAGATATTTTATTTCAGCTTCTCCAAGAATGTCAACAGTCCTTTTTTTTTGAATGTGTCTATTTATTTTAAACAGAGGATTTTTCTCCAACAATTTTAGAAGATCAGGCTCGTGAACATATTCGACAAAACTTAGAAAGTTTCATAAGGCAAGAGTTTCCAGGTAAATCATTTTTTACTCTAAGAAAAGAAAGGTGGTGTGACCTTTCTTCAGAATGAGTACTTGAGTTATAAGTACATTAATTTTGAGAATATAAAGTAATTTTGTGATGATGGTGGGAGCAGGGTTCGGTTGTTTTTTGTGATATACCTAGGTTGGTCTTTGGCCTACCAAATCCAAGTTTGCCAACAGAGAAGGCAGTAGCAGTGTACAGTTTCTATTAGCAGATGCCATTAAATGAATTTCATCTAGTGTTATATTTAGTTAAAGTTCACACAGCTCCAAAAAGTGAACTTATTTGGAAGGTAGTAAGCGTACATTATTAAATGTGTTGAGGTGATCTACATTTTCCTTGTACTGTCCTTGTGTTTAATAAAGTGGCACTTGGTTATCTTTCATGCCATATATACCTTGTATTTATTTAAAGTCAACTTTGAGAGAAAAAGTTAGAGTAAATGACTGGTTAATAAGAGAGCATTATAATTACAATGAGATTAAAATAGAATCATTAACTGTTGGGTATTTTTGATTCATGAGAGGGCCATTTTGATCAGAAAATTAAATGTGGTCAGGTAATTAGTTATTACTTTTCATGTATTCCTAACAGGAACTAAATTGAGCTTGTTTGGCTCCTCCAAAAATGGATTTGGGTTCAAACAGAGTGACCTTGACATCTGTATGACAATTAATGGACATGAAACTGCTGAGGTACAGTGACCACATAAAACTTCATTTGCTGTGGCAGTGTGATCTGCCCAACCTTGACTGACAGTACAGCTTGGTGTTTTCCAAATTTCTCAGGGCATACCAGTCTGTCTGGCCAAATATATTACGAAGCTTAAAGGTGAATGTGAGGAGTAGAAAGACACTAATTCTTCAACTTGTAGTACAAAATGGATTTAAAAGCAACATCTGAGAATTCTGCCAAGTCAAGCCAGCCTCTCCATCGTCCCATTGACATGGCTCCTTGGCTGATTTTGAGGCACACACCCAGGCGGGTTTCTGTGATGCTTTTTCCCAGGCTGGCAGTGTGGTACATTGACAGAAGTCCAGAGACCTGGATTTGAGACAGACTTGGTTTCCTCAGTGCCTAAACATGTGGTCTCGGGTAGATCACTATAAAATGGAAATAATAATTTCTGTTCTTCTTACCTCAGAAAATTGTACACATCACCTTCCATCATGTGTGTCAGGATTCTGAAAGCTAGGACCTATGGACCAAATTCAGCGCACTGCCTGTTTTTATAAATAAAGTTTTATTGGAGTACTAATTTGCATATCACCTATGGCTGCCTTCACTTTGTAACTGCAAAGCTGAGTAGTTGTAACAGAGGCTGTATGGCCCACAAAGCTGAAAAATATTTACTCTCTGGCCCTTTCCAGAAAAAGTTTGCCAGCCCCTGAAGTATATGAAAGCGTTTAGAAAACAAAGTACTATATAAAGTCTGAGAAAGTATTAAGTTTTTTTTTTTTTTTTTTT